GGCACACTCTTCCAGTTTTCCTCCTGCCTCACACTGCTCCTGCTCAGGCTCATTAACTGGCATCTCTTCCTCTGTTAAACCTCTAAACATCGTCATCTCTGTCCCAGGATTTAGTCCTGAGGCTTTTCCTTTTATCCATGAATATTCTCACAGTACAGTCCATCTAATCCTGTGACTTTAAAATTATTGTATGCTTCCATTTCCCAAACTTACCTCTCTAGACGGCATAAGGGGTATAATTGTCCTAAAGTGATCCAGGAGTTTAGCAAGGTACCAAGAAGAGGGATCCACTCTTCCCGGCATGAAGGACTACATCCTGAATCACTCTCTGTGGACCAGTGGCTTTCTTCCCAAACCCAGACCGTCTGGCACCAACATCATGTGCGTTGCTCCATTGATAAAGCTGCTCTCTGTGTTTATATGATGCAAACATAGAATAAAGGAGGCTAGTGTCCCTACACTGGAATGCAGACCCACACTGTGCACCACTTATGCATCAGTGTAGAATGGAAGGATGGGAAAATCATGCCTTCTACTTCTTTGCCAATTCTTGGTCTTTGTGAGTTTTCCTAACACAACATATTGGTTAACCCATGCTATGGCATATTGGGGAATTCTCAAACACTCATGTCTACTGGTAGTGATGCAGATGGGCCACACCTTACATGACATGTCCTGATCTTCCCTGAGCGCATAGACTCTCCAGCTGTCCCAGCACCATTTGCCTTAAAAAAATCCTTTTCCGGGGCGCCTGGGTGGCTCAGTCGGTTGAGCGGCTGCCTTCGGCTCGGGTCGTGATCCCAGAGTCCTGGGATCGAGCCCCACATCGGGCTCCCTGCTCAGTGGAGAGCCTGCTTCTCCCTCTCCCTCTGCCTGCCTCTCTGCCTACTTGTGCTTTCTCTCTCTCTCTGTCAAATAAATAAATAAAATCTTAAAAAAAAAAATCCTTTTCCTCCGTTGAATTTACTTGGCATCTTTGTCAAAATCAAGTGGCCATACGAATGTAAATTAACTCACACTACAGGCAAAAATTCCCTCAAAATGGATCATAGACCTAAATGTAAAGGCTGAAACTATACACCCCTTGGAAGAAGACATAGGTGAAAATCTTTATGACCTTGGGTTGGACAAAAACATGAGTGATAAAAGAAAAAAAAATTAAGATTTATTTATTGATTTTAGGGAGAGAGTGCACCTGCGAGCAGAGAGAGGGGCAGAGGGAGAACATCTTCAAGCAGACCCCCTGCTGGGTGTGGAGCCCAGGGCAGGGCTCAATCTCATGACCCATGAGATCATGACTTCAGCCGAAACCCAGAGTCCACGTTTAGCCAACTGAGCCACCCAGCACACCCCAAAGAAAAGAATTTTTAAATGGGATGTCATCAAAATTAAAAATGTTTGTGCTTCAAAAGACACCACTAAGAAAACGAAAAGATAAGTCACAGACTGGACAAAATGTTTTCAAATCATTTATCTGTGGAAATTAATAAAAAGAAATTTCATTTAGGATGGAGTCAGTAGGCCAACAGGGGTAACGATTATGCCCAACCACTCATCGTCAATTGCATACCCAACAGGAGAGGCACCTTGCAGGTAGATACCACTTTACTACCCCAAAAGGCTTTCCTCCTCCCCCAGCAGGAGCCCAGCCAATGAGACTGTCACAGCTCAATCAATGAAAAGTTACTATGCTTCAAAATGGAAGTTTGCTCCAATGGACTTTCTGACTTTCTGTTTATAACAGCATCCCAGCTTCCCCTTTTCCTCAAAAAAAAAAAAAAAGTGTTCTTATTCTTTGTTCTATGCACTTGCCTATGGTTCTGTCCTAGCTTGCTTGTCTAGGATTGCAATTCTCTGCTATTCCTGAATAAACCCATTTTTGCTGGTAAATTAACTGGCAGTTTTATTTTTTAGGTTAACTTATCTATTAAAGAACTTGTATCCAGAATATGAAGTACTCCTACAATCCACCAATAAGAACGTAAATAACCCAATTGAAAATGGGCAAAAGATTTGAACAGATATTTCACCTAAAAGGTATAGGAATATCCAATAAGCACATACTCAGCATCATTAATCATTAGGGAAATGCAAATCAAAAGCATGATGAGACACCACTTCTTACCCACTAGGACAGTTATAATTAAAAAAAAAAAAAAAGGTGCACTATGTGGAAAAAAATTGAAACATTCACTCAATACTGGTGGGAAGTGCAGCCATTTTGGAAAAAAGTTTGGCACCTTCTTAAGTTAAAGATAAATTTACCGTATGTCTCAGTGATTTCACTCCTACCTATCTACTCAAGAGAAATGAAAACATAGGTCTATACAAACACTTTATGTGGATATTCATAGCAGCTTTATCTGTAATAGTCCAAAAAGTGGGAAAAGTCCAATTACCCACCAACTGGTGAACCAATAAACCAAATATGGTATATCCATACAATGGAATAGTATTCAGCCCCTAAAAGGAATGAAATACGGACACACGCTACAACAGAGATGAACCTCAAAAGTATATTATGCTTACTGCATGGAGCACTGGGTGTTATACGCAAACAATGAATCAAGGAACACTATATCAAAAACTAATGATGCAATGTATGGTGATTAACATAACATAATAAAAAAAAGAATATTTGCTTAAAGAAAAAAAAAGTATATTATGCTAAGTAAAACAAACCAGATGCAAAAGACAAAATACTGTATGACTCCATTCATACAATGTCCTGAAAAGGCAAATTCACAGTCAGAAAGTCAATTTGAAGTTGCCTAGAGTGCACTAATGGGCACAAGAGATCTTCTGGGGGTGACAGAAATGTTCCAAAACAGGATTGTGGTGATGGTTACACAAGCCCATAATTTCATTTAAAATAGTAGATTACACACTTAAAGTAAGTGGATTTTATGGCATGTAAATTATATCTCAATAAAGCTATTTGGAAATAAAAGATATGTGATATTGTGGCCGCCATCTGCCTTGCCCTTCATTTATTTCTCATTTTCTATAGAATTTATAGAATTTATTCCACTCAGAGACTCTAAACTCTTGTTCTACTGGCTCTTTGGCTGAAAGCGATTCCCAGAGAGACACTGGCTAAATTCTGAAGAACAAGTTACTACTTTATGTGTCTCTAAATCCCCAACACTTCCAACAGCTAGGGGAATGAGTACCCCAGTCCTGAACAGGATAGGGGGTGTGTATGGTTCACTTACAGCATTACTCTAGCAGGCAAAGCTGTCTGATGCACGTTGGTAGCCTCAGGTAGGGCTCCACAGGTCTTCAGAGAACAAGCTGCTACAACTCAGTGACTACAGTCCAACTTCCCTAGGCAAGTGTGTTTGCAGCACGAGGAGTCAGGTCTCAAGTAGGAAGAGGAGAATGGCCACAACACAAGGAGAAAGAGAGATCCAGAGGAGGGTGTCAAACCCAATCTTTGTAGGGCATTTTTCCCAACAATTTAAGAGAACATTCTTTTCAAGCGCATGTGGTGTTTTCACCAGGACCATATGCTAGACTTCAAAACAAGTCTCCATAAATATCTAAGAGTCAAAATCATACAGAGTGTATGCTCTGACCACAACAGTATTAACTTAGAAGTCAATTAAAAACAAGATATTTAGAAAATCCCCAATTTTTGAAATTAAACAACATACTTTGGAATAACTCATGTGTTAAAGAGGAAATCACAGGTAAATTAGAAAATATTTTTACCTGAATGATGATAAAAATCCAATACATCAAAATTGTAGGATGTGGCTAACCCAGTGCTTAGAGAGACATTTATAGCTTTAAGTGTCAAAAGAAAAGGGGTAAAATCAATAAGCTTTAACCCTAAGAACCTTGAAAAGCAAGAGTAAATTGAAGCCAAAGCAAATAAAAGGAAACAGATTATTAAAAGAAGTTGATGGAAGAGAAAAGGGATAAACGATAGAGAAATACAACAGTAAATTTCTCTGTAATCCACACGGAAAATTTAATTTCACATGGGTTCTATATGTAAATATATCTGGAACCATAAAGGCTTTAGGAGAAAAAAATAGAAGAGCATCTATTGGGACTAAAAATCAGAAAGTCATCGCTTCTGGGGTAGATTGGTGGGGGGAGGTGGGAGCTGACTGGAAAGGGGCAGGAAAGAACTTTTTGAGGTGAAGGAAATGTTCCATATGTTGTCTTGGGTGGTGGTTACAATGGGGTATGTAATTGTAAAGGTTCATTGAACTAACACTTAAGATCTGGACGTTTTAATGCGTGTAAATCACAGCTCAATTTTTTAAAGTAGAAAAAAGGAGCTTATGGTGGTGGTATTTGGACAGCTTTGGGCCACAGGCTCCAAAAGCATTCACAGCATCCTCTGAGACTCTGCGGAGAGTGGTTTTGCAACCAAAATGTGAGATGTGTGCAAACGTCCGTAAGATCCACTGTGGCCACAACTGCAGACACCTATTCTCATTATCCAATTTACAGAACTAAACAGTTATCACTAGAGGGCTTCCCTTCAACGGAGATCTTCCTCCCCACCCCAGAGCTCTCCAAAGGTTGCCAGGATTGAGGTTCTGGATACATGGGGTTGGAAAAAAGTCCCTTCCCATAGAACTTCAAGGGTGACTGGAGCTGCCACCGTTGCAAAGGTCTACACTTTGCAAGAGAGTAACATTTCAAATGGTACTCTGAGAGAGGAGCTAATGGACTGCACAGTGGATTTTCTCGCCAGATGCATTTACTTCACAAGGCAAAAATGCCCATTGTGCTGGCAGATTTCGTCTTTTCATTTAAATCCACAGACTGTGGAGCCCAGACACCTGGCACCGACTGCCGGATGTCTTGCTGCGGGGAGAACCAAGCCTTTATCACACTGTGGCCCTGAAACATGCTTCCTGTGCCTGGGAGGAATGAGAGATATGTTAAAGGTCACTACTTTTGGGGGAGGAGGGAACCTGGAGAAGGCATGAGCAATGAGTATGTGGTAAGAGTTCAAGGTGAAAAGGCTGAGCCAAGAACAAGAGTGCATAAAACTCCAGTCCTGCCTTTGGGAGATAATGAGACCAGAACCCAGGCTCTTTCAACTGGCTTCCAACAGTCTAACAGGTTAGAGCTTTCTCATTTTCTTTCAACTATTCCTGGGCATGGGAGTTTTGCAAAAACAGAGTGGAGGGAACAAAATGGTTTTTGTAAGCCTATAATGACTTGACCTCTCTTTCTGACCATCCCAGGGTCACCTGTAATCTAATCTGCCCCCCATTTTTCTGTTCCTGGAGAGTGCTTCTTGGCAACCAGATTTGACCATGGCTGGGTGGAGCTGCCTTGTGACAGGTGCAGGAGGGTTTCTGGGTCAAAGGATCGTTCGCTTGTTGGTGGAGGAGAAGGAGCTGCAGGAGATCCGGGCACTGGACAAAGTCTTCAGACCGGAACAGCGGGAGGAATTTTCTAGTAAGTGAACTTGAGTTCATGGGTGGGTAGCTCCATCTTAACCCCCTCACAGGTATGGGGAAGGGGTTCTTGTCTAGCAAATCAAGGAAAGTTGTAGCCAAACCGAGGCTGATCCCCTGTCCAAAGTCATCAGAAAGGAAATCACAGGTGGTGTGGTATAAGAGATACAGGGCTGTCAGGAGACTGGGTCTGATCCTGATCTGGAACTAGAGATCCGGATGACTGTAAGCCAGCCACTCTGGCCTCTAGGTCTCTTTTCTTCTCATTTATAAAATCACGTATCTCTCCCTTGTCAACAACTCTTTAATGTTCTGAGGACTGTGGACTTGGCCATGGCTGTGCAACATCTGCAAAGGGCAAGCAAGCCCCGTTACCCTGGAGACCCTGCTAAGGGTTCCCTGCCCTGCTTGAGTGCCCTGGTCTTTCTGTGGCTTCACTCAGCATCTCCAGTGAAGGTGAAGCTGAGTGTCTGTGTGTGTGCATGTGTGTGTGCGTGTGTGTGTGCATGTGTGTGCATGCGTGTGTGTGTGAGAGAGAGAGAGACAGGGTGTGAGGGAGGAAGGTGAAGAGGACACACAGCGTACAGCGTGGGAGGGAGCCAGAGACAGAGTGTGAGGCTCCAGAGTGTGGATTCCTCATGTGGATTCCCTGTACATCTCTTCTTCCCATTTGTCCCTGCTCATCACCACAAGAAAAGTGACTGCAGAATCTGCTCACCGCTCTGCTGTTTTCCCAGACTGCTGCCCCTGGTGCAAAAGCTAGATTTATAAAACCTGTTTCACCCCCCAAATCCTCAAAACAGCCCTGTGAGGAAAGTAGGAACGGGGTCTCACCCAACAGGATGTTGAGGAAATTGAGGTATACAAAGGTAAAGCGACTTGCGGAGGCCTTCTGATTAACGGACCTCAGGGCTCAGAGTAGAGCCTCATCACAGATGCCCCAGTCATAGGGCTCCAGGGCTGCCTCTTGGCAAAGTGAGTCTTCAGTCTCTCCCATTTCCCCACTGTGTGTCCCCAAAGCAATCCCTGTCCCCCTCCCCAGCCCCTGCGGTCTGGACGTCAACACGCAGGCCCCTGGTGCCCAGAAGACCCCACCTCCCCACACGGAGACCCCCCAGCCACACCGCCCTCCAGGACTGCGCACATCATTCTTCTCCTCTTCTTTCCTGTGCTCTGAACATCTCAGATGTCTTATTTCCTCTACCCTCTGCTTCAACGATGCCTCTGATGAACACACATGAACATACATGATCAACATCAACTGTTTGCAGCCCTTACGTCTCAGTAATACTTACGGTCTGACAGCTGATGCCCGGGAAAGGCAATGTTCAACCTAGACGAAAGGTTCCCCTGTGTGACCAGTCAGGTGGTGTCCAGGACGGGCAGGGGCTCTGTACAGCTCACAATGGAGAATCCTCACAGTGGTTGCTCTGTGCCAGGCGCTGTGCTCAGTGTTCTATGCGTGTCAACTCATTTGCTCCTTGTAACATCTCTGGGGATGGGTAATATTATCCTCCTCTTTTTTGAAGATGAGAAAGCAGGCACAGAAAGTTGTCTTAGTCTGTCAAGGCTGCTACAACAAGATACCACAGGCTGGGTGGCTTAAACACATCAGAAATTTTATTTCTCACAGTTCTGGGGGCAGAAATCCAAGAGCAAAGCAGAGTGAGGCTCTGGTGAGAGCCCCCTCCCTGGTTCAGAGCCGTGTCTTCTTGCTGTGCCCTCACACCGTACAAGGGGAGAGGGCTCTCTCTGGGATCTCATTTATAGGAATACTGATCCCCTCATGAGGGTCAAACCCTCACGATCTGATCACCTTCCAAAGGGCCCATCTCCTAACAGCATCACATTGTCATTAGGATTTTGACACGTGAATTTGGAGGGACACAAACACTCAGGCCACAGCAAAGACTAACTTGTTCAAGGTCCCCCAGCTGAAAAATGGCAACACCGGAATTGAACCCGAAGGTCTAACTGCAGAGGCTGTGCTCTTAGCCACTAATTTGTCTAGTAGCTTCTCTTTGGGCCTCCCTACAATGCAGCCCACATAACATAAGCAAGTGTATATTTGAGCTACGCAGAATACTTGTCCCGTCCACAGAGCCTCGAGGAGGGAGGGAGCTCTACCTCCACCACCAAGACGTCTGCAGCGCCCTCTTCTGGTCTCTCTGCACCCTTGCAAACTAATAGGTTGATCTGAGCCTGTCTGCTGAAGTCAGCATCAAAGAGACAGAAGAAGGTCGGGGAAAGGCAGAGGTGGAGACCCAATCAGAGAAAATCCTACTGATTCCCAGCAGCTTCTCCCCTGCCTTTCTCCCACTTTAGGGCCTTCTTGGAGCTGCCCAACCATGGGAACTAGCTCAGGGCAGAGCAAACTTGGCAGAGGCTTAGGGAGAGCAGATGGTTCTTCCAAGTTGTAACCCAGGAAGGAAATTTCCCTGCCCTGGATTTTTCACTCTCAGTTTCTCTCTCACTGTTCTCTGGCCTCCATTGCCGATTTCAGTTAAATTGCCTTATCCTTTAAATACATACATACATACATACATACTTAGACTTATCCTTAATCTGCCTCAGAAAAAAAAAAAAGCGCGAGTCCTGCACTTGGGTGACAGGGGAAAGAGAACAAAGCTTGAAGGCAGGGAGCAGGCTTGAGTCTTCACTGGAAGTGTGACTCAGACCTGCCCCTTCACCTGTCTCCGCCGGAGTTGCCTTGCCTGTAGAGTGGAAATCGGAATACCTATGTCATGAGATAGCTGGGAAAGAAGAACCAGAACGCTGTGAGAGTTGTGTGCAAAGCAGAACGCACAAAGTAAGTGTAGAGTATTTATCCAAACCATGTGCAGCACCATGTTTAGGTCACGGGCTCGTCTGAGGTGATGATGTTACTGGCAGGACCGCCCCTTCCGGTGGATTTCAGAGGAGCTGAAGACCCTGAGGTTGAAGCCACTGTCCTTAGCTAGATGGCCAGAAAGTTAGTCCCTTGGTGGTGGACTCATTTTCAGCACTGATATCTGCTTTAGATGATCTCTAATAAGGTTTTTTTTTCAGTTAGACCTCTCATTTGGACCCTTCCTAAATTCCCTGTTACTGGCTTCCCTATCCTTCTGGTCACCTAAGCAGGAAATACTCAGGCTGACATGGACTCTTGCTCTTCCTCTCGGTCTCTCTCCAGTAAGAACAAGGACCCGGCTGCATAAGGTCTGAAAAGTCAAGCGTGTGTATCCCTCCCCTTCCCTGCTTCTGCTGTGGGAGCCCTGGTTCTGTCCTCCTCCTCCGAACTTTGCTGCAGACATTCTCTCGATTGCTCTCTCGATTAATCTCTCGATTGCTTTGCTCCCTCTTAGATGCACCACACCGATCCATTTTACATATTGCAGCCAGGGTTGGCTGCACCTACACCACAACTCTGTTTATGTTTCTCTTCTTGTGCCAAATCCAGGCGGAATTCCTCATTCCCTACAGAATTAAATTCAAATTCTTTCCTCTTATATCCACGCTCCATAATCACCCCACTCTCCTTAATGAACTTTATGAACTTCCCATGAATCTCTTTAACAATTTTCATCCCAGGCATACTTGACTCCTCCCTGCACAAATTCTTTTTTTTTTTTAAAGAATAAAATGGGGTGGAAACGGATGTTTGCTCTTTCCCAATAAATGCTACACATTCTGACTTCTGTGCCTTTGTTTACTTGTTCCTTCCATGGATTTATCTCCCATCTCCACCCTCCACCTGGGTAAACACCACCTTTATCAGGAAACTTCCAGATCCAGAAAGCCTTCCAATGACTTGATTCATGTTCACACAGAGCTCCAGAGCAAGACCAAGGTGATCATGGTGGAAGGAGACATTCTGGATGAGCAGTGCCTGAAGAGAGCCTGCCAGGGCACTTCAGTTGTCATTCACACCGCTTCTGTCATTGACGTCATGAATGTCATTCACCGAGAGACCATCATGAATGTCAATCTGAAGGGTATAGTATCCCAGGGAGGATATGGAGTGAGGTGGGCGAATGAGGCTCAGAAAACAGACCAGGAAGGGAGGAGAGGCCCCCATCACTGAACACCCGCTGAGCCTGCTCCAGCTGCTTTTTCTTATCACCACTGAGAGATTCAAGGCTGTTATGCTCAGTTTTTTAGATGAGGAAACTGGGGCTGAGCAAAGCTAAGAAATTTGTCCAAGTCCCCCTGAGTAGGAAAGCTAGAATTTAAACCCACACCTGTGTGTCTCCAAAGGCCACAAAAGCAGCTCCAATCAAGCATCGACTCTAAGCCAACCTTGAACTCTCATGATCCAACTACCTTCTGCTTCCCCTGGGCGAAGACCAGATCTTACAAGTGCCTCCCTGGTCATCATTTTAGCCCTTCTGTGCACCTCTAAGCTGGTGGTCACACAGTAAGGCCAAGAACTAAGAGCTCTGTGATAGAAGGGCCCCCGTGTCCACTGTGAGCAAAGAGCCACAGCTCCAGGCCAGTTTCCTTCAGGCAGGACTGTGCAGGATCACCCAGCGTAATGAGAACATCTAGCACCTTCCTGCTCACCCCAAAGAAGGATTCCTCTCAAGAGACCTGCAAAGCTAGTTCACAGCAGTCTGGCAGGACTGGCCTCCCCATGATATCTTCTTAATGGTAATAGCTTCCCCTTCTCCATAAGAGTACTTCTTCAGCTCACTGCTGGGTCTGCTATTAAAGGGTCGTTTCTAGCTAGGTGCCCAAAGTACACCCTCCTTAGATCCTCATCCCTTAAATGCCTGGTGGTTCTTTCTGAATTGTGGCTTTCCAACCTACTTTAAAACTAGACACCTTTATGTAAGGGATTAGCTTAAATCCCTTATTAGCTTCACAAGCAAAGTCATCCTTCTGAGCCCTGGAGGCCAGTCTCTCTAGGACCACAGTGCCCCAACCCCCAATCGCATCTGGTTCTCATGACCTGCTCTACAAAGTTAGTCGTTAGACAGAGGCTCCTTTTCTAAAGCAACTCATTGCTTTAGGGTCTCCAGCCTAAAGTAGCACAGTCTCAAAAAAGACCCTTTCTAGTTTCCACTTAGCCATACCCTCATCACTCCCACACTGCAAGTAGGGTGCTGCTAAATTAACCAAGTTTTCCCTTTTAGCCCCCTCTGCTAATTCCTGCTCTCCAGAACTCCCAACAGCAGAGGATTTGAAATCCCTGAGAAGTGGTAGAGGCATCAGTTAATTAAAACTAATGTCAGTTCCAGGTTTAGAAGATACTTCAAATAATGGTCATTTTTCCCTCTGCAGGTCAATTGGCCCCAAATTTTCTCAGCCTCTAGTTTTGATTTTTTTTAAAAATGAGTCTGTCTCTCCCAAAAATCAAATTGCACAAAGACCTTAAAAAGGATTATTTTTAATACCAAAAAAAAAAAAGAGAGAGAGAGAGAAATAAAAAACGATGCTTTGCGGGGAATGTTCTTTCTTGTGGAGAAGGCGCTCTGCATTACCTCCCCCAGCTAAAGGGATTCTGCAAGATCCTCCCATTATAGGTATTAACCACCAGAGGGCACACTTCCCCTTCCGGTTCTCCACCAAGCTCAACACAGAAGGCCAGTGCCAGGCTCCAGAATACTAAGTAAAAGGACGGTTTATCACCCTCACTTTTCAGACCTGGGTAAAGGGAGTCACAGTCAGAATTAGGAGTGGCCTTTGTAGGGAGCACTCAATCAGGACTAGGTAAAATTCCAGTCCATATTCTGAGAGTATGGCCTCATAATTTTTTTTTTTATTTAAAATAAACTGTTTTTAATGAAGTGGTAGGGATAAATGATAATTTTCTTTTTTTTTTTTTTTTAAGATTTTATTTATTTATTTGACGGAGGGACACAGCGAGAGAGGGAACACAAGCAAGGGGAGTGGGAGAGGGAGAAGC